CCCCAAAACCCCAAAACCCCAAAACCCCTCTGGTAAAAAAGAGATTTAAAAACAACAGCTAATAATTTAAATATGAAGACTTCAGTCTATATTACTTGAAACCCATGCTTATCAAAAGCTAAACAAGATAAAGTACAAAGTTTTAAGATACCAAAGAAGTAAGAAAAGACACCACAAGTCATCATAGTTTTGAGATATCAGAGGGAGTTTAGGGTGAAGTATTCGATTATTTAGGATTTTAGAAGAACCAAAAGAGACTTTCAATTTACAGAAGAAATATTACAGCAATAACTTTACCTATAGATCAGGAAATAAGTCCAAGAGTAAGGTTTTGGTCATCAGAATCAGTTCAAGTATGGAAAGGTTGAGAGAGAAAGCTGTAGATATCTATAAAATAAAAAGAGTAATTTCTTGGTATAATTACACTAAGCCTCAAAGTACAAAGTCAATGTCACAGTTGCCAAAGAATGTCTCTCAAAAGAAGTTATTTGGGGTACAAATATCAATCCCAATCAAAAGTAAAGCCGGATGAAATAAAATTGAAAAGTAAAGAGATGAAATCTCAGAAGTGATCGATTCCTAAAAATAATGACCGATATGGAAAATATTTAAATTGCACCAAAAGTCATCACAGAAGGTTAAGTAAAAGTAACCAACTCTACGCAAAAAGGATTCTTAAGCAGACTAAAGAGTACAGAAAATTACAGGTAACTTTCATATACTTTTAAGGGATCTCATGGCACCGTTCAAATTATAAATCTGGAGTATCTTTCATCACATCTATGAAATAGTCTTATCAAGAATACAATTCCTTTCTCCAAAATAATAAATGATTTCCTTAATTCCTTATGAATAATTTCATAGTTAAAGACAAACTCCACTTCTTTGGAAAAGATTCATAATTTGAGAGCTTTAAAAGGTAATGATACCTATTTAATGCAGCCTCGGACTAGTAAGAATAGAAAGAATTCAAGGCAGATTCCTTCTATTTTAGATAAGAAACAGACTAAGACATATAAGAAATACCTTAGTGTGATTAGTGATACCTGTGATTTTAAGACATTTCTGAAGAAAGATCAACCTATTTCTCGTAAGAGGAGGAAAAGAATGAGTGTAGATTGACCTGTCAAAAGTAATATAATAATCTCTCCCAAGGAATATCAACCCAAGGATCTTAATGGACTTCAATATTTCTTAGGTAAGAGAGGCTCTTCTAGAACTTCAAAACATAATTTTGAGTCTTCTTGCGGCAAAGGAACTTTGTCTCCAATCAGGAACCCGAATCATTCAAAAACTGAAAGCAGATACTCTAAACAAATGGAAACAAGGATGGCAGAGCATATCATTGATGCCAGCATGCTTGGATAATTACTCTCCTGTGATATTAAGACCTTAAGAATTACTGACAGTTCAAATCTGAAATAATTTCCTGGGGTTTTGGGGTTTTGGGGTTTTGGGGTTTTGGGG